AAGTATTGGCGCCTGTAAATCTAGTAGAGCCGCAGCATGGCACTACTCCCATAGTGTATCTTCTTCGATTAAATAAAATTGAATTAATCCGAGCGAGAATAAATGAAAAGTCTTAAAAACAGGATTTATTCTTTAGGAGTCATTGAAAACTAATTAATGGAAATAAATTTGTTCATTATTATATCTGCCCGGTTATGTTTTTTGACAAATTTATCCGACATTTCCCGATGATTGGCATTACTCACCCGGATGTATCCGATGGGTCTGACAAAGAAAGGACCGACGAAACTTTTGATGAAATAACAGTAATTTTGAAAATTTTTATGATTCAGAATATTCAGAGGACGTAATAAAGGATCTTGTTGAAAGATGGTCCCTGCATTTTTATATTTTATTGGTCAAATTAATTTCGTCAATAGTTTCGTCAATAGTCAGTAGTTACGTCAATCTTCAGTAGTTACGCCAATCGTCAGCAGTTACGTCAATCGTCAGTAGTCGTCAGTAGTTACGTCATATCGTCAAGTTTCGTCAGACGAAACCATTGACGAAACCATTTCGTCAGCGCCAAATAGTTTCGTCAGGCATCATTACTACATTCTCTATGTATTTATTAAGCAAGGTTTTGAAATTGATGTAACTGCTTTTAATATTTATATTTTAATTCCCATGATATTTATGGATTTGTTGCCTGCATGCAAACCACACGTTTTCACGAATATAATAATTTTTAGTTGACATGTTTAGTATTAAGGGTCATCGAACATGGTAATGGAAACTGAACAGTTCATATAATAAGTAGTTTTATTAAATCGCCATCAACTACGAAAATGATTGAATTTTATCAATCAAAATATAACTATATTATGACTGTAAATCTGTATATTTTTTCTTCCCTTTAATATATATAAAGAAATCCCATTATTCTGGTCGTGACAATATAACTATAATGTCCAATACAATTAATTTTTCTAGGAACATTAATAGAATCATCTCACTTATAGTTAAAAAATAAAGGATTGAAAATATCATCAGCAGAGATTGTAGCGCTGCATCATGCTTTATTATTTTATAAATTCTTAAAAAAAAAATCAAGAGACAATAATAATTAATGCAATTAAATTCTATAAAAATTACTTAAAAATTAATTATTAAAGTTATATAAAGATCTAAATAAATGGGGAGATCGCGATTATTTCGTAATGCAAAGGCCTCTATGACCCTTAAAACCGCTTCTAAAATGGCTATGCGGTTTGTTGCATACAAATGCACTGTGAGAATCCACTATGGGATCTGCACCTGAGGTTACAACTACAACAGTATGAGAATACCTTTGAGGACCAAGATATTGAATAAAATCACCTGGCTTCAATTCACTCAATTGGCATTCTTTCGCCAATTTGTGACTAATAAGATAATTATAAAACGACACCACATTTATCCATGGAACTGTGTACGGTTTCCATTCTTTATCTGTAGGAATGCCACCTGTATTTAAAACTTGCGAAGCGAAATTGGTACAATCTCCCCCCACTGAATCAAAATTTTTGTATTTCGGATTTGGGGTTTTACAATATTGTCCTGCATAATTGACAGCCTTTTGTCTATCATATCCAGAAGGATTAGAAGGTGGTGGATTGGAAGGTGGTGGATTTGAAGGTGGTGGATTAGAAGGGGGAGGATTAGGAGGAGGTGAATTAGAGCCTTTCTTAATCCATTTGTCAGAAGGACACCCTGAACATTTATTGTCCCTGCAGCAATAGCTTTTTCCATTATCGATCGCACAACATCCATGCGTGCAAGGACCATAACGACAAATTTTACTACCACCTGGACTACATTGAAAAATGGAGCTGGGATCCGAAGGACAATCTATAATTTTTAATAATAGATTTTCATAATAGAGAAGTTATTGACAAAATTCTTTCTTTCAATAATATGATTTATGGAAAAATAATTTAAAAACCAATATTTACGATTATTAAGTTCATAACCACACTTGAGTCCGCCAATTTGATCGTTTTTATCACACGTACAGCCACCAGCATCGCCACAGGCAGCGAAAACACTAGAAATAAGAAAGGTCAGAAAGCTAAAGAATGTAATAATATGGAAATTCATTTTTTTCGTCATTTTTCGAAAACTCATCGTTAGCAAGAATTCACTACTGATCTATTTAAATAATTTCCTGCAAATTAGAGATTATACAATTATAATGTACTTACTTGTTAATCAGTTAATTTAAAAATCAATGATACACGACATCCTGATATGTCAACTGAACCCATATATTTTTCTAATAAAGGAACAAGACAAAGCATCTTTAATTAATTAATAATTAGCTTTAATGAATTAATTAGCTTTAATTAAATAATTTGCATTAATTAAAATTATAACTTTTTTTCTAACAATCTCATTTATTCGTTACCAAAGATGACTGGCTATTTATTGCTTTATTCAGCAGTTCATTCATATTTTAATTTGCCGTTAAGCAGAACTTGTATAGATTATAACGATTATGCGATAACTTTATTTTACTTTGTTTTAATGCATGGATCGACGTGGTAATAATCCAATAAAGGAAAAATTTATAGAAATTCGCGCCTTTTTTGGAGGTCGTCAAAGCGGAGGGAAGTCATGTGACTACCGGCCAATCAAATAATAGAATTTTGATGATCGCAATTCAAGAAAATCCTAAATACAAAAAATGGCGGTCTAAATCTTCCTTGGATAGGTTAAGCAAAAATGCCAGGAAGGCAATTTTGCATATATATAACTACCTAAAACCTAATCTAACCCTAATATAAGATGACCCTAACCCTAAAGGTGAATAAATATTAATTATATAATTTATCTCCATTTTAGACGTCCCCTTTTTTGTCGATACGCACGAATGCTAAAAGTAGGATATAATTATGATCGACCAATTTGCATATACAAAAAGAAAATTAGAATCTGATGAAGGTCCGAAGCAAATTAAGCATTGTTACACTGACGGCAGATCATCACGGGAACTTCCGATTCTCTGTTTGTATCTATTGCTTTCAAGTTTACTAAAACAGACAACAATATTATTACAGGTATCTTTGATGCTATAGATTATTTGAATACTGCCAAATAAAATCCAGGAAGTCTAAAGCGGAATTCTTTAGACAACGGAATACAGACTTTAATTGATACTACAGTCAAACCCCTCTATAGTCACCTCCTCTATAGTCACAAAATTGGTATAATTACAAATTTATTTAATCGAAGAAGATACACTATGGGAGTAGTGCCATGCTGCGGCTCTACTAGATTTACAGGCGCCAATACTT